TTGCGCACTTGTCAAAAATCTGCATCCCCTTTCCCAACACCCCATCAAGCAGTTTGACCTTCACACTCCCCCAAGGCTGTACACTGCATCACTGTAAACTAGCTGTCATGATTCTTTCACTGTGAGGACGTGAAATAACAAAGTTGCTTTACAAGATGTAAAGCCTTCTAAGCAAAATAAGCCTCTGCTCCTATTACTTTGAGCTATTTGAATGCAGCATCCATCTCTCCACACGCAGTTTTAGCAGAAATACGGGAGGCTCATGGAAGGAAGTCATTTTAAAGCTATTTGTGTTTTTGCCAAAGGGATTTCTTTGATTTAGAAAGCATGAAAGATTGCCATTGCTGAATCCGTAGTGGATGAGCTATTTCCCGTGTTTTTCTCAAAGGAAGTTCGTGATGTGATAAATTTTTGTGTAAAAGTGGGATGGAGGGAGGGAGAGTAGAGGGGGTTCCCCTCCCTTCCTTTTTGGTTAAACTGCTTTTTCTGTAGTTTTTGTGAGCATCAACTCCTCCCCCCCCCTTTCTCTCTCTCCTTTTTCCTTATGTAGGATGGGTTGTTGGATCTCTGGAGATTCTTGGCAGCCCAGCAAGCTTGGTAAGAAGCATAGGGAATGGAATCGCCGATTTCTTCAGGCTCCCATACGAAGGGCTGACCCGTGGTCCTGGAGCCTTTGTTAGCGGAGTATCCAGAGGAACAACATCGTTTGTAAAACACATTTCCAAAGGTAGATACCCTGCTGCATTTTTTCTAAGGGTTTTCAAAGATAGTGCTGAAGCTCTCAGATTTGCCGTCCTCATCTTAGTTCTAGCTTGTTGGGTTTCAGCAAAATGCTGGGAGGGTAAGACACCTCATCTCTGTGTTTTTAAAGCAAGCCGTTCCCTTTAACATTATCCTAGAAACACTCGCGGTTTAAGCTTTCCCGCATGGCCACTTTGTCATGCAGCAACTGAACGGAGATGTTAAAGAAGTTCAGTACTTTTGCTGCACCTTGGAAATCCTACACCACATTGCCTCATCATATGTAGCCTTTTAAAGAAGGAAAGTAGGCACCATCGCGAAGTATTTCTGAACATGTTTTTGGAGAAAGCGTACATCTGGATTTTCCTGGGCTTGGACACAGACATAGTGCCATCTTGTGGCTTCAAAACCCAGCTGCAAAATGCAGAGGATTCAAAGCAAGAACTGTTGCTCTTCCAGCATTGCAGAGCAATATAAAAGGTCCCTATGTGGACTCATTTTTCTGTATCTGTGTGGCATTAGATTAGCTGAGCAATTATCGCTAGAAGGCTTGGCGGGTTACAGTTATGCCAGGCCTCATAAGAAGGAAGACTGAAGGGCTGTGGTAAAACCTGCACTGTACACCAATAAAATGCATTATTGATCCTTAACATAACAGAACTACTGTATAGATTTTGTGCCTTGATTGAATGGACAAAATGCCATGGTTTCAGCAATTTGTTGATTTGACTTCCTAATCTGTTTGTACTTAGGCACACTGACATCAATTACGAACCTGGCAACAAGCCTTGCTCGGAATATGGATCGGCTGTCCCTGGATGAGGAGCATTACAATCGGCAAGAAGAATGGAGAAGGCAACTCCCTGAGAATCTGGGAGAAGGACTGAGACAAGGCCTCTCTCGGTTAGGCATCAGCCTTCTAGGTAATGGTTATATGATTTCATGATCACTATACCCAGTCTTGGGGAGGATGGGCTCCAAAAATAGTTACAAAAAATATTTTCTAATTTTTAGGATGTTCATTTGGGGATAGTGTGTCTCCCCCCCCTCCCCCCCGATTCTTGTGGGTTGAAAGACAAGAGTGAGACAGGCTTTCACAGTATATTTGGTCTCATGGGGCAATAGGGGCATAGCTGTTGGAGCTGTTGGAGGCAAGGGTGGGAAGAGAGCAGACTGCACTGAGCAAAGCACACGTCCTCAGCTGCAGTTAGCTTTGCTGCTTTTTTCCCCTTAGCAGAAACTGACTGGTATGTTCTTAGGTTTTGTTCTCCACATTCATGCAGACCAAAGACTGTTGAAATGAAGGCTTATGTCAGATCCAGCCAACTGCCAAGTGAAGGGCATGGGGTCTAGGGAAGAAATCCAGGCAAGGCTGACAAGGCAAAGGCAGAAGGTCCATCTGTTATGGGGTAGCAGCAAGCTGAGTTCTCAAACTGTGGGGTAGCTGCTGCTGGTGGTTGTGATGTCCCAATGAAAGTTATAATTCTGAAGAAGATGGAGCCTTCCTCTTCCTAATCAGGGGGTAGGTAGATAGATTGTCTTCAGCAGAAAGCTCTCACTGGCTTATATCCTCAAACAGAAAGGAAGCTCAAGGATATGAGCTGCTTTGTTTATTTGTGCACAGCTTTACTTACAGGAGGAGACCGGGGTTCCTTGTTCCGGTCCTCTTGTTATGCCAGTGTTGAGTTAGTGTTTCACATAAAGCAGCAGCCTGTAATCAGTTGCATATGAAAATTGTCTTTACCTGTGGAACAGGTAGTTAGAGGCTGAGCATCGCAGGGTAGAGTAAATTCAGAAGAAGGAGGCAATTTCATGAGAAACAGTGGTTCAGATCAAGTCTGACCTGGAACCTTCTGTGGAAGTGAGGTTTTGCAACATGGCCTGCCTTTGCATATCAGTGTTGCAAATTCAGATCGGTATGTTCTAGCTCCCCGCCTGTGGTTAGCCTGTGTATACAGCATGGGGATAAATCCCTGGCCATATATATCCTGATGAGGAACTGCTGCAGTCTCGAGTTCCTGACTGAACAGGTTATCCTGCTCTTTAATCCAGCATTAAATATTAGATTCAGTGTTCTGTTCCATTGCAGCTAGACAGGTTACAAAACATTTTCTGATGACCCTGTTAGATGAGAAGGGAGTTTAATGCACATTTTAAAAACAAGCAAAAGCCAGCTGCATTTAAAATAGTGGCTGCAAGGGAATACATTTTTATTGTTAATAGTAATTGTGGATATTTAGAAGTACAGTTATCCTTTAATTTAGATGTGGCAAAAGATGCAGGGTGGAATGAATGTCATCACATAAACAATATAGATACAAAGACATGCTCATTCCAGTGTTTCCTTTTAATGAGCTACAGGAAAACCTTTCAGACTGATTATTTCCTTTGCATCATAGATAACTTAGATGCTTGTTTTTGTTTGAAAAACACTTGAGTATAGTTCAAATGTCAAGTAAATGTTGACAAAAAATATTTCTGCGGCAGAAACAGTCACATCACATCAACGTTGTATAATAATATTAAAACTCCAGCCAAAAGACTTAGCTAGGGGACAAGATCACCATGGGTGTTTTAAACTATTACTTGCAAGTTTAAAAATTAACCACTTCATAGTAATTTGTGAAATGTAAGTAGGATTTAAAACTGAACTGTTTAGAAGCATGTGCATTGCAGAGCGTGCATGCATCCATTTATTAAAAAGAACACAGTTTATATTGCTCAGTAAAATGGTTTTGTGCATACTTGGGAGTATGTATCACCCTAAAAGATCAAAATGCTTAGAAATCAGCAGGCTTAGAAATTTAGAGGCTAACTTCAAAAAAATACTCACTTTTAAAATTTTCAGTTGCTATACAATTCAACCTAACAGCAGAACTTTACATAAGAAACCATCAAGCTGTCATAAACAACAGCAGCACCATCTCAAGCTCTCTTTGCTTCTTTCCAGTAACCTGTACTACAATTTAGCTCCTTTCTGACATTGTTGTATTTCACTGTGTATTTCACTGTCCACACCAACAATATTTATTTACTTCTAGGCTACCTTTTAGGGAAAGCCCTCAAAGCAGCTTGCATAAAAACAATTGAAGAAATCAATAGCCTGTCCCAACCTGGTACCTTCTGGTGTTATTATAACCAAGTCCCATGTTCCCTGGCCATTGGCTCTGCTGGGAATTGTAGTCCAGAATATCCAGAGGGCACCAGGTTGGAGAAGATTAGACTCCAGTATCATGTTTCAAGGCAAATGGGCAGCATCTGGACACAAAGTAAGTTCAAGTAGCTATTATAGAGAGAGAGATTCAACACAGAGCTGCCAGCTTCAGTGGTAGATTCATATTTCTTTTAATGTATTGCCAAGGAATTGGTGAAATGTTGGAAATTAGGTTAGGGCTGCTGGAAATTATTTCATAGCATGACAAAGCAGGGGCTTTGAAAAATGCAGGATGATGCAACAAGATTTTTTAAAATTCCCTCCTAACAGTGGGTGAGTGCCATTTCCTTCAGGTGCAAAATATCATAGTCTATTAATAAAAATGTCCATGCAGCAGAAAGCAGGTTTCCTGAGAGTGGGGAATGCAGATATAAAAGAAGTATATCTACAGGAGTTAGGATCTAAAATACTGAAGAGCAGAATCTTCAACAAAGATCTCCACTAAAATGAACCGGAGCAATTGAAGATCTGTCACACTGTCCTGCTAAGTTGCCTGTTGTATACTCAGCTCACAACAGTGAAGAAATGTTGATCTAAAGGGTGTCAGTTTTAAAGAAGCATTGTTTTCTGTTTTAGCTATGATAGGAAGCAGAAACTGGAGTGTTCTTAATACACATCCAGAGTGTCCACCACTTAGTGGGGCTACTGGGATCTACACCACCATATAACTCTGCAGAAATGTTCCTCAGCAGTTCTTCTAATTTTTGGGAAGTTAGTAAAGTCCACAGTGTGGTAGAAGTCATGGCATCAGCAAATTGCTCTTAGCTTAAGCATATATGAGATCTACTTAATTTATCTTTATCTAAAGATTTCCACTCTTGACTTTGTCTGGTTGTGGAAGTGACAGTTGTTGTTGTTGTTGTTGTTGTTGCTGCTGCTGCTGCTGCTGCTGCTATTGTTATTGTTATTATTAACCCTACACCAGCAGGTCTGAGGGTGGGTTACTAAAATTTAAGATTCAATATTAAAAACAATTAAAACACAGGTAGGTAGCCATGTTGGTCTGACACAGTTGAAATAAAAATTAAATTTAAAAAATGTCCAGTAGCACCTTATAGACCAACTAAGTTTGTTCTGGTATAAGCTTTCGTGTGCATGCACACTTCTTCAGTGCTTCTTAAAAACTGAACATGAACACTTATACCAGAACAAACCGAGTTGGTCTATAAGGTGCTACTGGACACTTTATTTTTTTCAGTTAAAACACAGTCACAGGGTGAGCCCTGAAAACACATCTCAGGTGTCAAAGGCCAGGATAAACTGGTACATCTTCAGCATTTGCCAAAAGCTTTATGGTGAAGGTGCCAGGCTTTGACAAGAGAGTTGCACAATTTAGGAGCTGCCACGAAGAATGCCCTCTCCTGGGCCACGACCACCCAAAACTTCTTAGGGCAGTGGAACTAACAAAAGAGCCCCTCTGCTGATCTTAATACCCAAGAGGGTCTTTAGGGTAGCAGGTGGTCTCCCAGATATTTGGGACCTAAATTGTTTACGACTTTAAACACTAGTGTCAGCTCCTTAAATTTTGGCCCAGTAAGGGACTAGCAGCCAGTGCAGCTGTTTTCAAACAGGGGTTATGCGAGTTCTAAAGGCAACCTCAGCCGGTAATTTTGGCCAGTTGAGTTAAATTGGAACAGTAGAACCCCTGTTTTTCAAGCAGGTTAGACATTGTGCTGGAAATCTGAAGTTATTGCTGTTATATTTAAGCATACCAGACTGCTTCTTTTTCTTTGTTGCTGCCTTTACTCAAGATATGGACGACAAACTTTAGTTTATAAATTGGCTTAGACTGCAGTTGCCTGCACTGTTTTACTTACACAGAACGAGGAACTTAACCCGTCTCTCTGATTCTGTTTACAAATTCTTTATTGCTGAAATAATACCCACTGTTCTTAGTCACAGAAGAAATTAACCACCCAAATAAATATATGCACGTGCATTGTAATGTGAACAAGCAAGTGCCCAGATTGTATCTTACAAGTGAGAGATTAGCAGGCACAGTTGTTCACGGGGCATCAAATTTCATAGTTTGCTGTGCAATCCAGCATGCTTGTATAGTTCTGTAAACAATTGGCCCATCAGCACCCAGGCCATTAGTGTCATTCTTGCAATCTCTGCTTTGTCTCTCGATAGGCTGGTAGGTTGTGATATGTCATGGCTCTTCTAGCTTCCACTGGCTTATCTGATGTCATAAACAGGAGTTTCAAAAAGTCCCAGTGCAGCTATAATTTGAATGCAAAGCACCCACAATGAGAAATATTCAGAAGCATTGCAGAACATAACTATATTGACTAGTAGCCATCAAGAGCCCTCTCCTCCATGAATTTGTCTAATCCTCTTTTAAAGCTATCAAGGCTAGTGGCCATCAGGAACAACAGCATTTTAATGAGACTGAATTAACTGAAAAGCAAGATTCTTTCCTCAAAAAAATAGAAAGCAATGAGGGGCAAACTACATGTTGCATGATGGCTGCAAACTACATGTGAAACACTGATGGCCCCTTCTGTTATCCCTTACACATTAGGGAACTTCACCCACCTTCACTATTCTGTGTTTTTGGGGGCAGCCAAAATCACTGAACAGTAACATTTGATTTCATGTGCACATAGTGAACTGCAATTGACCAAGGTGCCCATTTTTGTTGTCCACATGGAACCAAATAGATGTCCCTTCCAGGGCAGCTGTTTGATCTCTCTGTTTGTACAAAGAGGTCTAAAGACTTTACCCAGTGATTTCCTCTGTGCTGAACAACCGTGGCCTATTGCTCAGGCAGCTAAGCTTCAAATTGTTGTCACGTAACACCTTGTCACTTTGTTCAATCATTGTCCTTTTAGTGAGTTCCAAATAGCTTATCCATCAAAGTTACAACAACTAGAGACATCTCTGTGGTAAGTGGCTTGAGTAAACTCGAGATCAAAGAGAGATCCCACCTTACATACCTGTTTACATTTAAGAAGATTTAAACTGCAGTCCTCTGTTGATACTAAAAGCCGGAGGGGTCATTAAGGCACTTGTAAAAGTTTGACCCATGTACATTAAAGTAAAATATGGTTGTGTTCACAAAGATAGTAACAAAAAGTCCCAAAGCCTAATTCTACTAAGCTTGGTAATATATCAGAGGTTGCATTAGTTTATGAGCATTTCTGGCAATAGAAGGGGATATTAAAATGATATATGGAATGCAGGTCTTTTTTTTTTCTTATGAAGTCCATCTTAGGCTTACGTGAAAATCTCATTTCCATAGCAGCTAAAGAACTCTGAATGTTAGCAGACATTTATTCCAATCTAAAATACATATAGATAAACAGTATCCTAAATCCTTTCTAGTCAACAAATGCACTTGGAAAGAAAACACCTAGAATAAATGCATTATGAAGCCACCAAGCGGCCTGGTTTGCACAAACCTCAGCTTATTGAGAACATACTAGCTTCCAGGAGTTTCTTCTTAGTTATAGCTCATGGTTAGTTGGAAAGAGCTTAACCAGGAGCCCAGGCCTGGACAACTTGCTCAGCCAAACCTTGGCTCAGCTCTGCTCAGTGTAGCAGGGGGAAAGGGCTGGGAAGGAGCAAATTGTGTAAGCTCCTCTCTGGAAGCCCACACATTTATGCTCCGCCAGGGTTTGGCTTCGCATGAAGTATGAACCAGGCCAATGTAAATGTTTATATGAAAAAGAGAAACACAAGAAGGGACAAGCGGAGAACTGAATTCAGTGTATTCCTCAGGTTAATTGGTATTCCTTATTTCTATATTAGGCAGGTGATAACTCAGATTCTCAGTCCAAAATTCTCTGTTAATATTTATTCTTGTTCTGGGAGTTTATCCTTCTGTCATGCTCTCGTTACAGGTGCGATTGCTGGTATTGTAGACCAGCCAATGCAGAACTTCCAAAAAACATCAGAGGCCCAGGGTTCAGCTGGACTCAAGGCCAAAGGTGTTATCTCTGGTGTGGGGAAGGGAATCATGGGAGTTCTCGCTAAACCCATTGGGGGAGCAGCTGAGCTAGTGTCACAGACCGGCTATGGTAGGTTTCAATGAATCTGTGAAACTCTTTGTGTTCTTTATTAATTGCCAGTTTTTTTCTTCCATAATAGGTTTTTATTGGTATAATATACACACACAAAAAAGATAAGAGATTACAACAAACCCCCAAGTCCCCATGCCCCCAGTCATCATCCTTATACCCCCATTGATATCTGGTTGGATAGCCACATAATTGCCTTTTTGATCAGTGGAGGATAAATATATGTATAAAGTTTAATGTCCAGGGCGCTATTTGGAAACAGGTCCTATGAACCATTCTAGCCAAGGAAGTTGACAACACCCTAAGTCACAAGGTCATTGTCAATTTTCAAATTTTGTTTTAATTGTAGCATGCTGTGTTCCTGCAGATTTAAAATAGTATGTGTTATCATAGAATCCTAGAGTTAGAGAAGACCCAGAGTCATCTAGTCCTATCCCCTACAATGCAGGACAGATGGCCATCCAACCTCTGGTTAAAAACCTCCAAGGAAGGAGAGTCCACTACCTCTCTTGGGAGTCCGTTCCGCTGTCAAACAGCTCTTACTTTCAGAAAGTTCTTCCTGATGTTTAGTCAGAATCTGCTTTCTTGTCACTTGAAGCTAAGGGTTTGGGTCCTACATTCCAGAGCAGGAGAAAACAAGCTTGCTCCATCCTCCATGTGTAACAGCCCTTGAGATATTCGAAGATGGCTATCATATCTCCTCTCTGTCTCTACCAGACTAAACATACCCAAATCCCTCAACTATTCCTCATGGGATTGTTTCCAGACTCTTTATAATATTGGTTGCCCTCCTTTGCACATTCCAGCTTGTCAGTATCTTTCTTAAATTGTGGTGCCCAGAACTGGACACAGGTGTGGTCTCACCAAGGCAGAACAGTATGGTATTATATGCTGTGAGCTAACAGGGGAGGACATGTGACGCGGGTGGTGCTGTGGTCTAAACCACAGAGCTTAGGACTTGCCGATCAGAAGGTCGGTGGTTGGAATCCCTGCGACGGGGTGAGCTCCCGTTGCTCCTGCCAACCTAGCAGTTCAAAAGCACGTCAAAGTGCAAGTAGATAAATAGGTACCGCTCCGGCGGGAAGGTAAACGGCATTTCCGTGCACTGCTCTGGTTTGTGGCTTAGTCATGCTGGCCCCACGACCCGAAACTGTACGCTGGCTCCCTCGGACAATAAAGCGAGATGAGCGCCACAACCAGAGTCGGTCACGACTGAACCTAATAATGGTCAGGGGTCCCTTTACCTTTACATTTTAACAGGGGAGAACAACCCCTACACACACACACACATTTCTGGATAGCTCAGTTGGTTAGATCATGGTGCTGACAATGCCAAGGTTGCAGGTTTGATCCTTGTATGGAATAGCTACATATTCCTCCATTGCAGGGAGTTGGATTAGATGGTCCTCAGGGTCCTTCCAACTCTAAAATTCTATGATTCAAGGTACGTCTGGCTACATTGCTCAGACTCTGCCTGGCAGTTCTTATGCTGGCAGTTAGATCTGCCCTCCTGCATTGTGCAAAGCTTCCATTTACCAAACTGAGTGAGGATGCTTCCTGCTGTTTTTGATCAAGAGGACCTGTACAGGGGAGAGTGGAGAATAACTGCCAAAGATAATGTGAGTCCTGCTGTAGCATGTTAACCACTTACTCCAGCACAACCCCACAGGTATAGTTGTTCCATTAATTGTTAAATCAAAAAATCTAAGGACTTGCAAATACTTTACTTTTTACTCATATAATGTGAAAGTCCCTTTTTCTTTAATGGGCTCAAGGTTTCCCTTCATAAAAGATGAGTCACTGACCACTTACACTGGCAAAGCCCCACTGAAGCTTTTAGATTTCCATTAACTAAATCTGTGGACATCATTTTTCGCCCAAAAGGTTGTTGAAAGTCTGACCGCGAAGTCTCTCTGTTAGGCTGTCCAATGCACTTTCAAACATTTTGAGGTAACAATCATGTCTGTGAAAGACCTAAAATGAAAGGCTCATGGGCTCCGTTTATTTGCAAAAAAATAAATTTGTGTGTGTGTCCAGCAGTTATGCCTGTGGAATGGGACTTTCTGGCCCCAACCACCTCCCTCCTGTGACACCCCCCCCCCAAAGCATCTCCTGGAGGATGGGAGACCATCAGGAAAGGCTGGACTGCGACAAAGGGGGGGATTTGGATGCAAATATTGCCTCCGTGTATTTGTACTTGTCTTTAGACTGTTGGGCAATTAGAAGTCTGGTGTACAGATTATTTTCCCATCATGACCATATAAGCTTGGGATAGCTTGCTTTTAGTGAAAACTAAGCCTTTGTGGGATGGGGGGTGGCATAGAAAATAAAAATACAGGTAAGTTCAATTCTTTTGAAACCCACAAGGAAGCAGTACAAAGCTGGGAGATGCTGTGCGTAATAGGCTTCCCATGTATTATTTTTAAAATGTTAGCAAGCGGTAAACAACCCAAAATAATATAGAGATGCAAACAGTGACTTAGATCCAGAGAGTTACTTTAAGGGAGGTCCACAAGGTTACAAGCACTCAGTAGGATTCACCTTTCCCTGCTTTTGCAGTGGCCACATACACACACACACACGGTGGCTGCTGTCCAGAAAGCACCTTGGGTGCACAGAGGACCCCCCCCCCTTTTTTTTGGATGCTTGCCAGTGTCTGTAACATATTTTACTTTCTATATCCATTGAACAATAGTGCTAGGAGAGGATACACAAGTGGCTTCAGATCATAATAGATGGTACTGCATGGTTGAGTACCCTCATCCCACCTAGACTGCAAATGGGATTATGCCCAATAAAGAGGATGGGAGACCACACAGAAGTCAACACATGTTCTTTCTTTCTCCACTGCAAATGACATTTTCATTCGCATAACACTGTAAAACCTCAATCAGCTAATTGTTACAACTGGAATGCATCTTTTAAGCATTTCCATAAGCAGTTAAATATTAAACTATACCACCCCCCTTGCCCAACATAACCAGTGCATTACTTAATCTGGGCATTAGTTATTAGTTTTATGAAATAGACTCTTGAGTTGCTTACACCCCAGTGCAAAAACGTCTGCTTTGCCATGGAGTTACTTGACTGGTCCAAGTCATTCCTGCCTCCCCTCCCCAAATGCTTACATCTTAGTGCACAGTTCTTTGCTGCATCAGGCTTAGCCTAGCTTCGATCAGCCTTGTAAAACTTTTATTATATCTGTGAAGTTTTTACACCCCGCTAATTCTCCGTCTAATGACCATGCCTTCATTTATAAAAATTTACAAGCCATCAGAAACCGCACATGCCAGGTCACCCCTTAGCTCTGGCAGTTCTGCTCAGAACAAACAGGAAAAGAAGCTGCTCCGCAGAGCTCTACCTTGGCACAATGAAGCACTCCTCATATTTTGGATGCCCCAGGAGAACCCATAAACGTTTGGGATCCATGTTTAACAGCTGGATTAAGTAACCTCTATTGAAACGCAGTATCTATGGCAAGCTTGCCTTCTAATGTTTACTAATCATGACATATACATGGAAGAATCTGAATATGAAGCAAGAAAGTTAACAGTGGCCTTGACTTTTTATGCATACATTGTTAAATGACGTTTTCAGTCCCATTCTGGACTGATGGCTCTCAAGAGCATTATGTTTCCCCTAATTGCTCGTATGTGACTGACATTCTGTCTTTTGTTTATTTCTAGCTAATGCTAAAATCCACCAGGGTTAAGTGTACGATTATTGTATTCTAATGTTGAATGAATTATCTCCGCTAGAGTGTCCAAAGATGTGACATCACTTTGGATCTGCACTGTTTTATGGACTACTCTAAGAAGATGACATCACTACAACATGTTCCTGTTTTCTGAAAAAACAACTAGTAAAAATCTTAACTTCTCTTACCACAGGTATTTTGCATGGAGCTGGACTTTCTCAGCATCCCAAACAGCGTTATCCTCCAAGCGATCAACATGCTGAGCAGGCACCAAACAGCCACGTCAAATACGTCTGGTAAAATTATTGAGACACTTGCTCATTTTTCTGTCCACATTGTTGATTAATAGATTTTGGCCCGTGGTCAAGTTAACAGGCTATTGGCCTAGGAAGAGGTTGAGTTACAACAGTTTATTTAGGAACGCTAAGCAGAGTTACTGCACAGAGGCCCATTTTGCAAATGATAAGCGGTTGATCTCCTTTGAGCTTTGTAACTCCGATGCTACTCTGTGTTTGTTTATCTAAGCTTTTACTTAGTTGCCTTTGCAGTGGACCCAAGTTCTGCACATTTCCAGAAATAGCTGCTGGTTTCTTTCTGCTCTGTGTTTGGTTCCAGCTTCTTGGGGTGGATTCTCCACAGGGAAAAGAAATGAGTTGGAAGAAGAGAATGCAATTATGAGCATCGATTAGGTCAGCTTTGCTGCAGATGATTAAGGAGTTTTGATAATGTTACAAAATAAGCATGACATCCTTTTGATTTAAAACTGAAATGGGATTTGCAAAAACTGTGGTGCTTAGTATCCTTCCAGCTTGCTGTGATTCTTTTTATATATTTTTTAATGGCAGCTTCACTGAGAAACGATGCAATTGACCGTATCCTTTGAGCACAAGTTCCTAATCTTGAATTATTCTTTTAACAGGAAAATGCTTCAGTCTCTAGGGAGGCCAGAGGCCCACATGGCCTTGGATGTGGTAATTGTGAGTGGATCAGGCCAAGAACACGAAGGATGTTTGCTGCTTACCTCAGAGGTGCTGTTTGTGGTTAGTGTCAGTGAAGACACACAGCAACAGGCATTTCCAGTGACAGAAATCGAATGTCTACAAGACAGCGAACAAAGCAACCTGCTGAAGGTGCAACTCAAGCAGCAAAGAGTCCCTTCTGATTTGGAGGTAAAGCTTCCTAAACACCGATTTGTAGCCTTTATTTAAATTTGCAGCATGAGTGCTGTACATTTCAATAAATCTGCGTTGTCTCATTTCAGGCAGATGGAGTAAGAGAGAGATTGTCTGAACAGCAGTACAACAGACTTTTGGACTACATCACAAAATCATCGTATCACTTTGTTCCCAGCACTTTATCTGTGCAAACCACAGCACAAGTGGTAGCTGCCGAACCCATTCCGACAACAGTTAAGACTTACCAGTACCTTGTTGATCCTGTTTTTGCCCAAGTATTCATCAGTAAATTTACTATGGTAAAAAATAAAGCCTTGAGAAAGGGATTTAATTGAGAACACCCAGTGGCAAGACTTGTTTTCAATTTTTAAAGTAACATCTATGCAGTTGCCTAATGTGAACTTTTAATTTCACATTGTGTCAAACACATGTGTTTAAACTTTGTGGGCTGGTGTAGTAAAGTAGCACTTAAAAAACAAACAAACCCACAATAGTCTTATTTTTTGCCCAGCCTATATGAAATGTGCTGATTCTCGATCTCTGTGCATGAGGCAAAAATTCAGGAAATATTAGTGATGCAAACCTTGTTATAAGCTAAGCTGTCTAGTAAAGGGAAATGTAGCAGCCCTATAGAATGACAGTGAACACATTCAGTCCATTCTTTTAACTGGAAATCAGACAGGCAAGGGTAAGCAAAACTCTGCATGTTGCAGTGTTCTTGTCCCAGAAAGAATATCCGTGTTCTCTGTTGTCCTATTTTAGGGTCTGCCAGTTTCTATTATAAGCAGAGTTTATAACTCAGCTGTAAAAACTAGCTCAGGGCTGAAACTTTTACCCTAAGTTTTCCATCCAATAGCAAAACATTTCCTCCCACTCCAACTGAAAGCATTGAAGTGGCTGTTTTAAGTTACTAGTGACAGCTGGGTTTTAGCACTGCTCTAACCTTATAATAGCCTTCTTTATTTGACTGAAATTCTGCAGGACTTTAGTCCTTAATATAAACTAGTGCCTTTGTGTAGTTTGGAGAGCAAAATGGTAACTACGGCATTTATTTTTGAAACTTCCTGTCTGTAGTAATCTTATTCCCCAGTCAGATTTTTCTTAAGACTTTTGAATGTATATGATGTTGTGGATTGTTGGGCAATACATAATTATGCAAGGTACGTCATCTCTTATTATTGTGGGACCAGTAATATGCATCGTATCAATTTTAGGAGTGGTGTTCAGTCAAGTGTACCAAAAAAAAAACTAGACAAAACTCAGTCTCCAATCCAAGCTGCATTACTCAGAGTTCAGTCCCACTGTAAGTAGTATGATTTACTGCCAAGGATATTGTTTAGGGTTGTTCTGTCAGTCTTGTTACACATTTCAACCTAAATGCTAATTGTATGCATTAACTAATCCTGAGGCCTATATCTGTGCTCTTCAAAGAGTTTATGTAATTTGAATATTTTATTCTTGGTCTCAAACTTACCTATCCAATATTTAAAGGTTAAGAAATGGAGATTTAAAACTAACAAATGTTAGTTTTACTATATCTCTGTGGATACGATTTAATGAAGATAGATGAATCTTGTACTAAAACGATCTAAGAACTGAACAATCTGGAAGCAAATAGATCATTCCTTTCGACATCTTTGTCACCACTTTCTACACTGAAAAACTCACTTTAATTGGGAAGGACTTGTTAAACCATAAACTAAATTCCAGTAGTTTGGGGTTCTGCTCCTAATGCTGTCCCTATTGTGTTTAAGAAGCCTTATCTTAACCTCTGCATAGAGAACAATTAAAATTATGACTGATGGGGACTCAATCCCATATTGGGGCTATGAGTCACATCACATTTACATTTACATTTAGCCTGATTTGATGGCCTCTCACACCCTTAAAGGAGCTCCCACTTGATTGTCTGTGGAGTTCTCCTTGCACATTTAGGATTTTAGTGTTTTGATTGAGTTTTGTTATAGGCGATTCAAATTCTGTTTTCCTCTTTTATTTTAGAAAAATCACTGTTGCCATAAGAGCTATTATATTTGTGGATTGCAATGAGATCAGCAGTCTTAGGTTTGAGAAAATCTATTTAATGTGGGTTCTTAGCTATTATCTGTTTCTGCTTCAAAACATTTGTTCCAAATGATACTCCTGGCTCAACCTCTCAGGGCAAGAACTCAACATTATTCTCTGGAGATTCTTCCTATACATCAAAACTATGCCCAAGACAGGAACTGAAATGAAACCAAGTCATTACCGTAATAATGATCTATTTTTGTTGTTGCTGACATCTCCTTTGCATTCTTGGTACAAACTACAAGAACATTTTGATTTAAATGCTTCTCTTGTAACCCACTTTGGTATGAGTTACTTCTGGAAGCCATTTTTCTTATTTATTGATCACGATGAGCGCGAAGTGAACACAGCCATTGTTAACATCTCATATGTTGACTTGTCAAACTGGTCATTGTTTACCTTTGAAAATGTACACATTTTATTCTTGAATCTTTTATGGGAAATAAAAGAGTTATATTGCCAGTGTTGCATGCTGACTGCATATATTAGAACAAATTTATTCAAGGAAAACAATTTTTGTGACCCACACACAGATAGCTGAGGCAGGCAGGCAAGCCACCATATTGGTTTACAGGACTTTTTACGACTCATCTTTGAGTGAACTGAACTATTCAAATATTTTAGCACCTTCCCTCCAAAAACACCTTCCCTGCTGTCGCCCAATTCCTGCAGACACAAAGGAATGGTGGGAGGCACCAACAGGGCAACCTCTCAAGGGAAGATGGCTGGGAGGCAGTGTCAGAAGCTGAAAAGGTAACAGAGTTTAGTGAGCAGGCAGAGGCTGTGGCAGAGAGAAGTCCAGAAGCAGAATCAGGAGAAAGGAGAGGCAGAGATGAGTCAGCCTGGTGAAGAAGGCATACTGTCTCTTCCTCCTGCTGCAACAAGCTCCCCTCCCCACTGGGCTCCCAGGACCCAAAACCTGGGAGAGGAGGAGACTTAAGTCAGCTGTGGACTGTCTGTACAACTGACTCACAGAGGCAAGACCTACTGAGAAGAGTTGCTGTGCTCATTAAGCCTGGTGCTCCTGAGCAGCCCTCATTTCTTCTAATAAAGTGTTAACTTCACTAACAGTGACTTACTGCTAGCTGGCTCACTGACACACGCAGTCCTTGCTTACAATGACAGCATAATTTTGCTGCAGCTACACTACTTATATCAAGAAGCTGCTTGAAATGAATAGTGCCTTTCCATGGTCCCTGCACAACCCTGAAGCAAAACACAACTTTTATAGGAATTTTCCAAAATCTATCTACGCTGCCCCAAATGTTCAGTGAAGCGACAAATTAATCTCCATAATTCTGCAAGCATTTTGGTCCATCCTCTGTAGACCAGTTTAAAGTAGTACCTCATATGCTCTCACTGATGGCAAAACTACTCTTTAGAATAGAGTTTCATTAGTTTTAATGGTTTCAACCTAGTCCTGCAGTTTATCTATATGAATAACACAATCACCCATCAAAAGGTTGCTGCTTGTGATCTTTTGAGCTGGCTATAAAATCTTCACATAAAGTAGGATGCCAAATTAAGCCATCTGTAATGTATTTTCAAGCTTGTAAATTCAAATCCCGATAGCAAAACATTTACTTCAAATGGACCATTAACATCAACACTTTGTATATATACACATTCTCCAAAACCATTCACTCTAGTAAGCTACTTAGTAACTTCTTCGTTGATTCAAAACACAAAGTTGCAGTAACAAGGGACTTTCAGACTTTCCAGGCACTAGACTCTTGCCTTAAATTAGGGAATACATTTTTACTGGCATTTTTACATCAGTATTTGGAAGACCTCTAATGGACAAACTCACTCACACACTGTTCCATTAAACATCAGCTGGAGAGCTGTGTACCGTTGGAAGCAACACTATAGGATACTAGCGGACAAAGTTCAAGAGTGTGCAAGAATGCAAGAGCTAAGGAAAGCTAAACGATCAATAAGCCAGTCACGATGAGATGTTTTAAGGACTTACTGGGAATATCTGAAAATACAATTACAGAAGTTGGCTGCTAGTTGTACAAACTAGACAGATATTAGGGGAACATAAAGGCTGGCATGCCTGTGAAAACAGATGTCAAGCCTGCACAATACAGATACTGCTATGTCTGCAAATGTGCATCCTTATCCACAACTAATCACACAACTACATATATCCTCCCTTATCGTAAGGCAAATTGTTAACTGATCTTTGCTGAAGCATGTTCTAGTACCCATTGGGTATTTAATCAGCTTTTTTAGAGGCAGGTGTGCCCATTATGGACCTAGCAATCATCCAACACAGCCCAGCCTAGACCTCTCTTCCTGCCTGGCTCCTTTAGAGCAGTGGTGGCCAAACTTGACCCTCCACTGTTTTTGGACTACAACTCCCATTATCCCTAGCTAACAGGACCAGTGGCCAGGGATGATGGGAACTGTAGTCCCCAAACAGCTGGAGGGCCAAGTTTGGCCACCATTGCTTTAGAGCAACAATGACCTGCAGCCCTATAAAGTTGCAGAACTACAGCTCCTATCTTCCTATCAACGATGCTGGCTGAAGTCCAACATCTGGAAGGCCGCATACTTCCCACACCTTAGAGAGACAAGTGTTAATAAACAAAAGACCAGGATAAACCAGATAGAAGGCTTTTGTTCTCGATCTCCCTACCCAGTTTCAGTGAAAGGAAGATGTAATTAATCAAACATAGAATCCAGCAGATTCTTCCTCTCATTCTCCAATCTTCATCAATCATTCTCCAAAAGCTTTCTAAGAAAACTTGAAATGATGCCTGGCAGCTAGTACCTCAACAATAGTACATAAGGGGGGAAAAAACAATAGTACATAAGCATTCTGGAACAGATATTACTACCTCCTCGCTATCCAGTTTGAAATAAGTCCAAACATCACTTAACTGAAGTACTTAATTTAATGATCAACGTTACAGCATGATCAACACCAAAGTGGATCACAAGGAATAGTTCACTGAAACAGTGATGTTCAGTTGTCAGGTATCCGGAGAGGAGAGTCTGAAAAGGAAGAAACAACAAGTTATAAAATGAATCTGTTTTTAATCTCAAGGCCACTTATGTAAAGGTTTTTGTCTAAAATGAGCAACAGGATGCTTTCACCTATATATTTACGCCCCATGAAAACCAGTATTGTGTAATAGATATAGGAGTTTACAGACCAAGTTGAACAAACCAATGTGAACAGAGACAAATGTGTAATACACATATGCAGATAAACACCTCACTGCAGGCATGGTTAACAGTTCTACCACTAGGGGGCTTTGAATAAAACAGGTTTTGAAAAGTGGGTAGGAAGGCAAAAGCAGCAATACAGCATAGGTATTCCAGAAAAAGAGGTCAAATATTTTAAAAAGTAAGGGGGCTAGGCCAAGGGACAGGGAAAGATAGCAGGCCCCATCATGGGGACTGAAAAGACAATATATAAATGTTTCTATAAATAAATAGGTTCAGATGAGTAAGTCTTTAGTAGAGATGCAATCAAACACAAAAGCTAAAAAGTAGAACATTGCAGGGCTATCTATTGATAATAAGTACGTAAGATGGATCTGGTGGATACAGAGCTAAGACAAAACATCCACCATACCTAGTCAAAAAGTAATATTCTTCTGCCAAGGTTAGACAACGGAAAGTTTTCAGATACCTACTCATGATCATTTGGGTGGTGCACTTTCAAACACCCCAGCTTTTCTCATGGCCTCAAACTCCTTCATGGCATCATAGGTTTTATAGAACTCAGCATATGCTCTTTTCCTTGGTTCAGCCACACCAAACTAAAGAGAAAGAGATAAGACCGCAAGTTATTACTGGAAAAAGTTGCATCCTCTCACTAAGACAGTCTTAATAAAGAACTAACTCACAAACTAACTTCTTAATGCACCACATTCTGACCTTGTATCCAGCTGCACATCCCATCGAAAAAAGGAAAGCCACTACAATGTGTTTTCTTAGACGACTGGCCAGGAGGCCTCTCATCTGGGGCTTGGGTAGCAAAGCAGCAGACATGGTGATGTTTTCTCCTAAAAAAGGCAAATCAAAGAAAATTTAGCAAGGGCGTGCTGTCACAAAAGCATCTCTACGACCAACAGTGAAAAGAAGCAGCAACAAAGATGTGGTTATTCAAATCTCTAAACCCTATGCAGCTGAGCCAAGCTTCATAGGCAAGGAAGTCACTTATATAGCTCCCCAAATTACTCAGAAATTCCTGTTTCTTAGATTTTCAATAAATATCTAATGAGGCATGCATAGAAGCTCTACAACCTTTATCACTTCAATAATATGTCTTACTTGTAGACTTAATTTTAGCCTTACACTTTTGGATGCAAGGCATCATTTGCCCACACAATAGGAACAAATGGGTGTGTGGAGCAGGGGGAAGACCAAGGGCGATTAAGCAGCCTTTTTTATTTATTTATAGGATTTATAACCCTTTTCAGCCAAAAAGACTCCCAGAGTGGCTTACATACAGTCAGTGAAAATAAGACAGTCCATGCCCACAGGCTTGCAATGTAAAAAAACACAATATACAAGGGGAAAGGGACAGTGACAGAAGGAACTCAAACTCAGGCGCCAATTATTGAACATTTGTCGTTATAGTGACCACTAGGCTCCATTCGGGTAGGAGGTGCCTGATGGAGCTAAGCTTTTGACCAAACTGATGGAACAAACTGCGCTTCCTATCTCTCCCCCAGAGGCAGTCTGATGGAGTGCCTTCCCACCTAAGTAACAGTTGAGAGAGGCAGCTTAACAGAGCTGGCCAATTACAGCAGAGCTTATGGGAGTGCTCTGCTTCCCATCTCTCCCACTAATAGAATGGCTGCTTCCAAATGAGACTTAAGGGAGGAGGCCTGATGGAGCTGGCTATATACAAGCTATCCCAGTTATGGTTCATAGAGGACAAAAAGTTGACTTCCGGGTTGGCGCCATCGCCGAATGGCGGACTCCCTCCGAGCTCCGGAGGGAGTCTGCTCGGCAGGGGCTGGGTCCTACCGCGCCGGCGACGCGGGGACCCTTAAAAACCACGGGCACGGAGCCCGTGGACATGGGTGACTCGGCTTGCACCATTAGCGCCCTCCCGACTCGTGAAGGAGCCTTTTTAAAGGCTTCGGATCGGGTGCCGGGGGCGGCGTGGTGCTTTGAGTCTTCTGCTTTCCCTGCCGAGCGCAGCCGCATGCCATTCGACGGAGAGCGCTGACTTCTTCCATTGAAAATTTGGACTATTAACAACAACCCGTGAGTAATTGGGAAACCGGGTTCAAAATTTCGGATTTGACACGAGCGGGGGCGATTTAAAAAGGAAGTCAATCCCCCCCCCTATTGTAAGCATTCCAAAACAAGGACTGGGTAACCAAGGTCCAAAGGGAAGTATACTCCTGATAAAAATCATTAATTTCATGATGGGAAATTATAAGAACTGTGCTGGAGGAGAAGAGTGGAGGGTGAGAAGAAAATGCAACCCCCCTGGGAACCGGGGCGATTCGTGGAGCCTGGTGAAGAGAGACGGAGACTTTGACAGCTGTCAAAGTGGCTGTCAAAGCTGGAGAATATAAAGAGGACTTTGTTAAGAAGGACTTTGCTGGTTAATTTTGTTACAATTTGCTATAATATGGATATAAATTGTTGGAAAATAAGTAACAATTTGACTTTTGGATTAGAGGATACAAAGTTATTACAATCCCCCTAGAGGGGTTTCGGGATATTACAAGAACGGTCGTAAGTGGAAAAATACTCTGGGATTCGCACAGGACTTGTTATCTTCTGGGAAAGCTGCAAAACTGAAATAGTATTTTGTCTACAGAGGTATTTACATTAAAGGAGACAATAGAATTTTCTATTGAAGAAAGGAAGGGACTGGACGTAAGTTTTTGTTCCTGAATAACAAACCTCTGCAGAGATACCAGATTTCTGAATTAGAAAGTTTTAGCAGCTGAACAGGACAAGAAACCTGAGAAAGTGAGGAATAAGAAGAACAAAGGACTGATTACGACACGGAAAGAACAACGGGAGGAGTGGTAAAGATCAAGGAAATTAAAGGCCTTTGTTAGATTGGACACTTGAAGTTAAATATTATTAAAATTAATAAATTAAAAGAAAACCGGCAAGATGGAATCGGGGAGAAATCTGGTCATGAAATGAGACTTCCAAGCTGATAATGTATAGACTGATGGACATGGGGAATTCAAACCGGGAAGGGGGGAGATTTGAAATCCAAAGGCTGTGTAACCATCTTTTGAATTTTTCTATATCTCTTATTTTCTATTTCTTTATATAACTTACGCATGTCATTTTATTTTGATCGGACGTGTTTAAAAAAAAGGGAATTCGTGGAAGGAACTGGGGTGGATCTTGGGGAAAATCTTTTCTTTTCTTGTTAATGATGTGGGAAGGTGGTAAGATTTGAACAATTCAATTTGGATAGTGGGTTAAACAAATTAAGCTTCAAACTGGGAGTGAGAGCTTGTAGAACTAAATTAAGGAAAGGGGAATACAGTCAGGGGGGGGAGGGGGGGAGTCCTAGAAAGTAGGCAATGAAAGTAAGGTTTTTAAATATCTTTTTTTCTTTTTCTTTTCTCTTTGTATTTTTATATTTTTGGAAACTTTAATAAATATGATTTAAAAAAAAACAACATAGAGGACAAAAAGTTACCGTGTCTGCCCTGTTTAACCATCATTTTGCATATGGTTCCACCCCCAAAGACATTACACATACCTTGGTTTTCAAACAGCTTAGTTCTTGAACATTTTGGCTCCCAAACGCTGCAAACCCGGAAGTGACTGTTCCGGTTTGTGAACTATTTTTGGAAGCTGAACGTCTGACGGGGCTTCCACAGCTTCCAATTGACTACAGGAGCTTCCTGGAGTCAATCAGAACCAACGCTTTGGTTTCCAAACATTTTGGAAGTCGAACAGACTTCCAGAACAGATTCCGTTTGACTTCCAACTATGACTGTATTTTATGTTCTGTTGCTAAAGGTGCCTTCAGTATCCTAATTCTGGACACATTTTCTTACAATATTGTACATGCTGTTGTCATATGGAAACATAACACCTGAGAGCAGCACTCGAAATTAACCACTCGCCAGCTGTTTTCTGTGACACAGGAGCACCACCTAGTGACCAAGTTTAGATTTCCAGTCACATAGTTTGTGACCGGCTGTGCAGGAGAACCACAGCATCAGTTTTCCCTTTCTGCCTGATCCCCAGGAAGCCTTTTGATGTGCTAAAAGGTTGTGGTTTGCAAACAAACAGATAAGCAATTGGGGGGAGGAGCAGCAGGAGAGATCCAGCTGTTTTGCCTCTGGTCACAGAAAAACAGATAAATTGGTGCAAATTCTATAAATTAGAATCTTTTAGAAACGGAAGTGGGGTCCATTTGTATGAACTTTTAAGTGCAAGTGATGCCAGTAAATCCTAGTTATCAATATGGAACGGTTATCTCTTTTTTTCTTTTTAAGTGCAAACATTCCCCACAGACTTCCTCTCATCCACACTCAGTTCATACACTACAGCTGCAATGGTAATTTGGGATGGGGGCAAACCAACAAAGAAACTAATGGTCTTGAAAGAGTGGAGCATCACCTACTTTTTAAAGATTTGCATGAGTGCTCCTGTACCATTTACAGGGAAGTGCTTTACAGAAATTAAAACATTAGAACTTTGAAAATAATCACATTACATGAGCACGAATAGAGAAAATGTCCCTCACTGGTAGCTCCATCTATCACAGAAACTGTGGCTTTGCAAACTGAAAAATAGAGTTTCAACCCAGTGAGAGCAAGTGTGTGTAGTAGATTGTCTGTAGGACCAGGACCTGGGAGAGCTGGGTTCAAATCCCCACACTATGTTACTGTCCTATACATGTCTAAATTTAAGTCTCACTGTTAACCTCTGTATGACTTGTTTTGCTGTGGCTGGTTATAACCCTCCAAACACCACAAATTACAAAAAAGACCAAATAAATTCTCTATGAAAAAATAAATAGAAAGTGCAGTTTGCATTGAGGGGAAGGGTGATTAGCCATTGTTTTTGCACCTGTAACCCAGGTTCCACAAGCCGTGTAGGCAGTTTCTAACACTGCTAGGAGTGATGCGCCAACGTGAGGAGCAGTCACACCTCAGAGCTGCCAACTCTGAATAATGTAAACCTAAGTCTTGGATGCTAACAAAGAGCTCTTTCCTCTCCTACTTTTGGGGCCCATGCAAGTTTCTTTTGCCAGTCTTGACTTTTCTACTTGACTCACTCATGGTTCACAGTGGATCAATATTCCACTGATAATAGCTTTCCTCTGAGTAGATGAAAGGAATCATAGAATCATAGAGTTGGAAGAGACCACAAGGGCCATCGAGTCCAACCCCCTGCCAAGCAGGAAACACCATCAGAGCACTCCTGACATATGGTTGTCAAGCCTCTGCTTAAAGACCTCCAAAGAAGGAGACTCCACCACACTCCTTGGCAGCAAATTCCACTGTTGAACAGCTCTTACTGTCAGGAAGTTCTTCCTAATGTTTAGGTGGAATCTTCTTTCTTGTAGTTTAGATCCATTGCTCCGTGTCCGCTTCTCTGGAGCAGCAGAAAACAACCTTTCTCCCTCCTCTATGTGACATCCTTTTATATATTTGAACATGGCTATCATATCACCCCTTAACCTCCTCTTCTCCAGGCTAAACATGCCCAGCTCCCTTAGCCGTTCCTCATAAGGCATCGTTTCCAGGCCTTTGACCATTTTGGTTGCCCTCCTCTGGACACGTTCCAGTTTGTCAGTGTCCTTCTTGAACTGTGGTGCCCAGAACTGGACACAGTACTCCAGGTGAGGTCTGACCAGAGCAGAATACAGTGGCACTATTACTTCCCTTGATCTAGATGCTATACTCCTATTGATGCAGCCCAGAATTGCATTGGCTTTTTTAGCTGCCGCGTCACACTGTTGGCTCATGTCAAGTTTGTGGTCAACCAAGACTCTTAGATCCTTTTCACATGTACTGCTCTCAAGCCAGGTGTCACCCATCTTGTATTTGTGCCTCTCATTTTTTTGCCCAAGTGCATTACTTTACATTTCTCCCTGTTAAAATTCATCTTGTTTGTTTTGGCCCAGTTCTCTAATCTGTCAAGGTCGTTTTGAAGTGTGATCCTGTCCTCTGGGGTGTTATCCTACACTCCCAGTTTGGTGTCATCTGCAAATTTGATCAGGATGCCCTTGAGTCCATCATCGAAGTCGTTGATAAAGATGTTGAATAAGACCGGGCCCAAGACAGAACCCTGTGGCACCCCACTAGTCACTCTTCTCCAGGATGAAGAGGAACCATTGATGAGCACCCTTTGGGTTTGGTCAGTCAGCCAGTTACAAATCCACTGAGTGGTAGCAAACATTTCATAGCATCACAGCAGCTTAGCCAATGACAGACTACAGGTGAGTTTGGCTACAGCCAATCAGATACAAAACTATCCAGTGGGCTATATCCGTAAATATGGAACCTGATGAGCTCTACATTTAAGTAAGCAAACAAAACCTCTTCCAACACCTCCAATTCACATAATATTTACTTATTTTTATCCACACATCTTTGCCCAATAAGTAAGATTCTCAATGGTTGAAAGAACTTAGACATGCCCCATTGGTCTTTGGAAACTGAGCACCAACCCAGCCTCCAACAAGATACCCTTGTAAAACACGATCAGGTTTTTGCCAAGTTCTTTCAGCTACTACAGATCAGCTTACCTCAATGAAGCTAGCTATGTTTAAAGACTCCTCCATGCCAGAGATATCAAGCTGGATCATCTGCAGGTCTTTGCATTTGATAACAATGGTGCCAACAAAACATTTTTCAATGGAAAAACCATTGAAAACCTTTACCCTATGCCCTGCCAGGCTTATGCTGGCAGGGTGGGAGAATGGTCCATTTTCTGTTTTAACTTTTTTCCTTTTACGCTTAAGTTTCCACTCCCATTAAAAACAGTGGTAGGGAAAGCAGAGGGAGAGATTTAGTCACACTCAAAAGCATCTCTAAGTTTCTCGCTGGGCTGCAGATTGAAGCCACTTGCTGGAATGCCCCATTTTTAGCTCTTCTGATGTCACAGCTTTGACAATAGTTGGGCCAGGACTTTGGAAGAGCCAAAGGTGGCTGGGAGGCAAACTCCAACTTCTGACATCAGAGGAATAGATCTGATGTATCCGATGCCCTCACATATAACTGCATCCTAACTATCACATGCTCACATAATTAGATTACACAATTGTGCCCTAGAAGAGTTGGTCATGGAACCGACCAATCCTTGACTTCATCTTAAGTGGCACCCAGGACCTGGTGCAAGATGTAACTGTTGTCTAACCAATTGGGAGCAGTGGCCATAGTACCATTAAATTAAATATACATGGATATGGCCAAGAAAATCCAACATGGCCACATCAGACTTCAGCAGAGGAAACTTCCCAAAAATGAGAGGTGTGGTAAAAAGGAAGTTGAAAGGCAGAGTCAAGGTCAAACCACTTCAACATGCTTGAAAGTTAAAATTACTTAAATATGACTGTAGCAGAAGGGTGGCTAGAGAGGCAGTTGGTACCTTGGATGACAACTGAGCCAAAGGTATGCTAAAGGAGGATGAGATTGCAGAAAAGTGGAATGTCTTCACAGCAGAAGATATAGGGCAGATCTCTGTTCCTCAGGTAACTTTTGCAGGAAGGAAGTATGAGGAACTGAGGCATATAGTAGTGATGAGGGATGAAGTTCTCGGCCTAATAATAATAGAAAAACTGACTAATAACCAGGTCTGGATAGCATCAACCTGAGAGCTCTCAAAGGTGAGAGAAGCAGTTGCACCCTTGGTGGCTTGTTAGTTTAGAGGAAATGTGCACGAGAGGTGGTATGACTAATGAAAACAGTGGATAGAGAAAGGTTTCTCTCATAACTCAAAAAATCATGGATATTCAATGAGGCTGAATGGAGGATTCAGGGCAGATAAAGGGAAGTACTTCACACAGCACACAGTAAAACTGTGGAATTCGCTCCCACAGGAGGTAGTGATGGCCATCAACTTGGATGGATTTAAATGAGGATTAGGGAAGTTCATAGAGGTAAGGGCTCTCAGGAAACTGCAGGATGAGAGTGCTTCTCATAGGCATCATGTTGGTCACACTGAGAATGGGATACTGAAATAGGCCAGTGGCCTGATCCAGCAGGCTCTTAAGTACAATTTTAACCTGCTCTTCCTGTTTCATTCAATGTGGTGTACAAGGTCCCACTCCCCTTTATCCCCAATATTCACCCTAGGAAAAAAGTTAGGCTAACTTAAAAAGACTGGGCCCAAGGTCACCCAGTAAACTTTGTGGCTCAGGGTGGAACTAAAGTCAAGTCTCCCAACGTTATCTACCACACCGTATGGACAATTTATATATATATATACTCAGTTTTACGCACAAGCCTAAAAAAACGGAGGGTCCTGACAAACTACCACTTAGCTACTCAAAGTTTAGTTTCATGCTTTTGAGAACCAGCACAGCTCAACACAATTCTTTTCCATTCACAATTTTGTTAAAGGGATTTGCGGCCGCAAGTGCCCATGTTCCAGGAGACAACAACTAAGAATTTACTCCTACAGCTTTCAGCGTTTTCCTAGGCTACAAGAATTGTGAGGGCGTGATACATACATATACAGTGGTACCTCGGGTTAAGTATGCTTAATTCATTCTGGAGGTCCATTCTTAACCTGAAACTGTTCTTAACCTGAAGCACCACTTTAGCTAATGGGGCCTCCTGCTGCCACTGCGCTGCCAGAGCACGATTTCTGTTCTCATCCTGAAGCAAAGTTCTTAACCCGAGGTAATATTTCTGGGTTAGTGGAGTTTGTAACCTGAAGTGTATGTAACCTGAAGCATATGTAACCCAAGGTGCCACTGTACATATATATACATACACACACACATGCACCATGAAGGCCTGCAGCCTCCTCTTTGTTTTTAAAAATATAACATTGTCTCTCCATGCACACACATGCTGCAACCATGTATGGAGAGGGGAACAAAAGCGACGAGGAGCCAATTTCTCGCCTTGGGCCTCCAAATTAAGTCCCCGAAGGCCGTCAGAGGCTCCGCCCCGCCTGGGCGTCTGGTAGCCAAGCAGCTCGCCTTCCGTGCACCTGAGGAGCCTAATTTCGAGCACCTAAGGAGCCTACATACGCTTCAGGTTACTGACGCGACTCCAGCACGTCCTTTGCAAGGAAGTGGGAGGGCGGCGAACAACTTCTGTCCGGGCCAGGGGCAGCTTCCTTGCCTGGTGGCGGGGTGGGCGCAGCTGCCCTCACAAGTACCTCCCGTTAGCGTCATTGCGACGGGACGGGCCCCTCCCAAGGCAACAAGGCCGAGGAGAGAGGAGACGGGCCTGGCCGCAGGGTAGCCAAGGACCAAGGCCCAAGCCTCCCCCTCAGGCGCTTCTTCGTCCCTTCCCCTCCTCCGAATCCAAGGCAGCCGAGTCCTCCGCGCCCCCCCCCACCAACGGCCCAACGGTCGCACCAAGAACGCGCCGCTCTCTGGAACGCGCGGGAGGAGGGGGAGGGCTGAGGAAACCGGCACGGGCGGGCCCACCAACCAACCCCCTGCAAAGCACTCACGTCTCACGGAAAGCTCTGGAACCGCAAGGTCCTCCTCGCACACGCAAGTATCCTGCGCTGTCCTTCCTCGTTCACCTTCCGAACCGCAGCTCCCGCCTGCGCACGCGCGTTACGATCGACGGCTACGGGAAGGAGCACGGGTCAAATTTAATAGGGCGCGGAACGCGGAAAGGTCTCTCCTCCCGCAGTCTGATTCTGCATGTTTAAATTTGACTTCCTTCAGTAATGTTTTGTTCTGGGTTGTTTTATTTGATGTTTTAATGTGTTGTAAACCAGGTTGAGATTTTTTTTTTAAGGCATAGAAATGAAATGAATAATAATAATCACAGAATCGTAGAATTGCGGCGTTGGGATTCCCCGGACTCATCTATTCCAACCCCCAGCCTTCTGGGTAATAGCCACACACACTGACCCAGAAACTTGGGCTAGCAACTCTTCCATCATGTTTGTTATAATAACCACTGCTTCATATTAAATTGAAAAATAAATCTAGCTGTGAATGTGTCACAATCAAAATCAGATTTCTTCTTCTTACTGTCTGAGGCCAACTCTTGCTTTAGGACCAACAGATGTCAGGCCCAAGACAGTATACCACCATTATGAATCTGGGATGTTAAAGTGGCCATTAAATAAAATTATCAAAATTGTATCAAAGTTTCTGTTAAGATTTGTTGATTCAACATCACAAATACTATGCAGTAATACAGTTCTAGTAACAGCACACTACAAATCTGCCATCTCACATTTGTGTGATTCTTCTTATTTTCCAGTGATACCAATTAATTTTTCTATTACTAAACTTGTGTGCTATATCCACAACATTTTTGGGTCACTTCTAGACTAATACTATATTGCGCAAACCTCCTGATTTGTTTACACAACATTTGTGCAGAGGTTATACGATATGGCCATCACATGGTTGTTATCCTCTTATTTTTTAACTGCATAAAGTTCATTTTCTTCCTTTTTTTCCTTTTTCTTGGAAGCAATTGCACGAAAGCACTATTTAGCTGTTCCCATTTATTGCAGGCTGCCCACTTTGTGGTAGGTTATGAAGATGCACTCTTTATTGTGCATACAGCATGTACCTGGATGTGCAAAAGTGAGACAGTCTGAAAGCACCCCTGGTGCCATGGTTCAGTTTTAAGATTTAGATAACTCTTATCTAAATCTAGACAAGGTTCCAATTTACAAACCTCCAGTGAATCAAGCTTTTTAAAGCTTAGACTATACTTGGCATCAGTGTTTTCATTGCAAAATGGCCTGTTTCTACTTTATTGTTTCGTTAGAAAAGAATCTAATTAAGAAATAGGGGATCTCATGTTTCTTCTGCGTTGACATGTTTGAGCTTAGTGATTAACAGAACTGGCAATAGATAGCAGCGTAAACAATCCCACTTAAACGTATTTTGATTAAATGAATTTGGTGCACATTTTCGCAAAGCACATTTGGCCATGTTCAGCATGGTACGCTATGTATACATAATGGAAAAAATTGTGGCGGCCTCCAATTCCCACCCCCAAGCAGAAGGTATGCAATTGCTACAATTCATAGCCTCCCATCCCGGTATTAATTAGCTTGTCTCACCAACCCGAGCTGTAATATATATAAATGAAATTCTAGAAAGGCATCGGCAAGAACAAGATGTTGAAGCCAAATGGAAAACATGAACCAATAAAAAGGCTGAGCTAGTAGAAGGGCAAGCGTAGCCTTTGAAGTTGTTTCAAGTACTGCATGCTTTAATTTTGGGGTAATCGTATGACGATAGATACAAACAAGAAATGCAGGAACAGCTTTTGTAACTTTGGGGCCAACTGGAGACAAATCAATGTGTTGAAGGTTACCAACAATTGCCACAGCCATTGAAAGCATTAGTTATTGTTAAGTTGGATTTTTAATCACTGGCTTGAAAAAGATTTGTGAAGGTGGCGTGAGCACAAATTTCCAGTGCCAGCACTTTTTAAAAATAGGGGTAAAGCACCACAGTTCTTAAGAACCTAGAGAAAGAGATGATCTTAGTAGTTTGGCAAACAATAAGAAGCCTGCATTTCTTCATATCCGATGTTTACATTGACTTGTTCAGCTTAATGGACCTGTTTGGGGTTAATTTACCATGGCAATAAATTAATGATGAGTGCTCAAGAAACATGTAAGTTGCTTGCCATCATTATTTTAGATCATACTCTTTTGGGTTATGTTTATATGGTTTTAAAACAAAATTGTTGTTGTTGTTGTTGTTGTTGTTATTGCTTTTTTGAGAAAAAAAGGTGCCTGTACTCACCATGAAATTGTTACAGTAAGTGCCACATTTTTAACATTTGGCGGGGAAAGGTGCTGGTACTGTGTACCCTTAAGGACCCCCAGAAAAAAGCACCGATGATGATGATTATCATCCCCCAAGCTTCACCCTAAGGTGAAGGGGCAGGTTGCATCAAGTGAAACACAATATTAAAAACAGTTTTAAACAACTAAACAATCATAGAAATAAGGTGGATCATTGTTGTTGTTGCTGTTACTATTAAATGCTATATCACCTGGTGTCCCCATGGCCACACACTGAGCCCCACTGAGCTGTGGGTGTAACAACTCTTCCCAACCATCCCCAAATTTGGTCAACTGGGAGTGGGAGACTGGCTTGGCATGATGTGTTTTTTACTTTTACACAGGGCACCAGAAAAACAAGAGTCAAGGCTATCCCCTTCCCAGAAGAAAATCCTTTATATATAAAAAATGCTGTTCATCTTCTTAGATTAGCCAATGCCAACCTGATGCCCACCAGATGTTTTGAGCTACAACTCCCATCAGCTCCAGCCAGCACAGCTTTTAGCGCAAAGATGGTAAACCTTTGGCCCTTCAATTGTTAGACTACAGCTCTCATCAGCCCCAGCTAGCATGGCCAACAGCCAGAGATTAGAGGAGTCCAACATCTGGAAGGCCCCAGGTCTGCCATCCCTGCCTCAGAGGCTCAGCACTCTTATGCTGTACTGATCCAGTATTGGGCCCTTGTCTAGTCCCCCCCCCTTATTTTTCCACGTAGAAAGCACTCTCCAGCCTCCTTCTCAACCTCTGCATCCTGCTCTGGCAGCAACAGCGGATTGCTTAATGAAGTTTTACTTTCACTCGGTTTAATTATTTGAGGGCTGTGTGCTCCCTGATCTATCCCAGTTTCCCCCAAATATATGTTTTTATTAATAGTGGGGGTGTCCCTCCCCCCTCCCCATTTTAACAACATTATAAAAGAAGAGTGAATGAGAACAGCTTTAAAAAGTGTTTATAGGGTTAGAAAATACAAGGTTTGCCAGGTGTGTAAGCTTCAAAGCATACTACTGTGTTATGTTTTTACATAAGATCAGACTAGAATGATTTAGGCCTACCTAACAGAAGGTTCTCCATTTACAGAATAAATGAAAGGGTTCCATTTTGCATTTAAAAAGGATCTGGTTGGCCAAATCTCTGGATGAGTGTACTCTGTGAGTCAGTTTTTCCATTTGAAGGGAGGACTCCTAGATAGCGTTGATAGTATAAATGTAAAGGGAAAGTGCCATGCCTTTCCAGTGCCTCAGAAATTTCCAAATGTGCAGCAAGGATAAGCCAATGTGATAAAGATCTGTAGGAAGCAGATTTTTTAGCTCTTCTGGGAAGATGCCCAGTTGAGATGGCCTAGGAACTGGGCAAATGGTTTGGCCTGCTGTTTTGTTGATTGCTTGATACGTCTAATCCAAGAATTTAAAGATTACCTCACGAGCCCACATGTGATAGAAGAAGCTTTGAGTTCTTCTGCAACCCCACCAAGCATAGTGAAGAACGAATGGTGGAGTTTAACAGTGAAATGACAAGAACAAAGCATGAGTTTTAAAAAGATTTCTGAATTTCTAACCAGCTTTTTTTTAACAAAGGGATAAAGAACAATGTTTATTCCCACACCCCAATATATTACTTGAAGATTACATTAGGTTAGGATCCTTATTTCTCCCTGATCATGCACTAAACTCTTAGCTGGATGCCATCTTGGCTTCCCTGTTAATAATTTACCTTGGACACCCAAAAATCACTCCTGTCTGGGGGCAGAGGGTCCCAAGGAGGTGTCATGGCATCGTATATAGCTTTGGATATGACTGAGCTACCTCAAGAGGCAGTTGTGGAAGGAAGGGGGAAGCAGGTTTTTTGCGTCCCTCTCCCACCATATTTGAAAGTACCAGATACGAAAAAAGAATTTGTTCTAATAAACAGTATAAACACCAAACAAGCCACATGCTAGCGCTTTCTGTTAATATAACATTCTAAAATGGGCTTAACGTTGCATCAGAGAAACTGAAAAGCTTGTTAGAACTGCATTCTGTTATTGCAGCTGCAGAAGTATTTGATCCATGCTAGGGATCATTTGGAAAGGGACTGAAAATAAAAGTGCCAATATAATAACTCCACTATATAAATCTATGGTGCGACTGCATTTGAAATACTGTATACAGCTCTGCTCACCTCACTTCAAAAGGGATACAGTGGTACCTTGGTAGTCGAACAGCTTGGCTCCCAAACAAATCAGTTCCCAAATGCCACAAACCCAGAAGTCAGTGTCCTGGGTTGCAAACGTTTTCCAGAAGCCAAACATCCAACGCAGCTTCCGCTTGAGTGCAGGAAGCTCCTGCAGCCAATCGGAAGCCACGCCTTGGTTTTCGAACCGTTTCAGACTCCTGGAACGGCTTAAATTCGAGAACCAAAGCACCACTGTATTGTGGAGTTGGAAATGGTTCAGAAAAGAGCAACGAAAATGGTCAAGGGGATGGAGCAACTTTCCTTTAATGAAAGGTTACAACATTTGGCACTTTTCAGTTTGGAGAAAAGGTGAGTAAGGACTTGAACACAATTTATTGACAGCTGCACGAATTATGATAGCTAGGAAGTGGAAGGGGCAAGCAGAATATGAAACGGAAGAATGGTATAAAGAGGTGTGGGATATATCTATTAATGATAAATTAACACGTGCCATTAAGGTTAGACGGGGTATATGCAGGAGAAATGATTTTGAGGAGATCTGCAAGGTGTTTTGTAGAATTTGTACTGTTAAAACAGAAAGGGATCAAACCACTGCATGAGGTGTTGAAATTTTGGGAGGTTGGATAGTTACAATGGAATGGTCTCAGTCATCGGGTGCATATTTTTATTCTTATTTATTTATGATTATTACTTTGTCAAAATAAACTAATTAAATTTAATTAAAAATTTTAAAAGGTGATTAAGAGGAGCTATGATAGAAGTACCCAGTTACTTAAATGTACTGTGTATCCCACATGTAAGCTTACTCCACTAACAAAGTCACGGAAAGGATGAAGTGAAGATATTGCTAATAGTGGATCTAAAGGGGAAAAGAATCATTGTTCATTCAAATGCACATTAAAGACAATGCAAAATTTTGCAGATGTGGGAAATGCAAATAGCAATTTAAGAGCTGCTTGTAGAAACTGCTTAGGTAAACAGACAATTTAGATTAGTAGAATGACCTAGCATCAGGTATCATTGAGAGAAATGTCAGCAGAGTGCAACGCATTAAGAACATTTAATAGGAAAGAACTGATTACCAAACGTTTGATTCCTCTCGACATCCACCTCTGCTCCTGCAAACACTTTTTAAAAAAACCAATGCATCAAAACACATCAAAAATACAACTAGGTAATAGTACTATTTCATGACATTAACATAAAATCATTTCTTTAAATAGTCACAAAGAGTGGTATCAAATGGTGTCCGTCCACTGATCTCTGGAATTAGTGCAGAGTGAAATCAGTGCAGAGTAACAGGGAGAGGGAAGTTTCAGCCGTACCCCCTGCAGCTGTGCACCCATCAGAAACTGCACCACGGGGCCCCCAGTCTTCTGAAGCAGATTTGGGGAGGCACAGAGGGCTGCACGGGGGAAGAATGGATTGTCCAAGGAGGGGCTGGTAGCTCGGTGGTAAAGAATCTGCTTTGCATGCAAAAGACCCCAGGTTCAATCCCTGGCGTCTCCAGGCAGGGGTGGGAGAGAATCCCATCTGAAACTCTCGACAGCTGTTGCCTGTCAGTGTAGGTACCGTATTTTTCGCTCTATAGGAGGCACCGGACCAAAAGACGCACCTAGTTTTTAGAGGGGGAAATCAAGGGGAGGGGGAAATATTTCCCACACCCCAAAGAGCAAAGAAGCCAAGACAGCGAGCAGGATCCATCCCGCTGGCTGTCTTGGCTTCTGCCATAGCCGCGCAACCTCTCCAGCCGGGAGCTAAACCTCTCCAGCGAGGCTAAAGAAGCCAAGGCAGCGAGCACGATCCATCCCGCTCGCTGCCTTGGCTTCTTCTTTAGCCTTGCGCAGCCTCTCCCGGCAATTCCCCCACCTCCCACAAAAGCCCACAGGAGCTGCGCACCCTTTAAGGAGGGAGAAGGGACTGACTGGCCGCATCAGTCCCTTCTCCCTCCTGGGGAAAAGCCCACAAGAGCCACGCGAAGCTTGTGTGCGGCTCTTGGGGGCTTTTCCTGCTTGCCTCCCCCCTGCATTCGCTCCATAGGACGCACAGACCTTTCCCCTTAGTTTTTAAGAGGGAAAAGTGCGTCCTATGAAGCGAAAAATACAGTAATTCTGAGCTAGTTGGACCAGTGGCCAGACTCAGTATAATGCAGCTTCCAATGATCCTCTGTACCAAGCATTGCCACTCAATAAATCTGTTAGTCTTTAGGTGCAACAATGCTGTTTTTTTATTTTAAATATCCAGTTGGGAACAAAACATGTGGGGCAGGATCAGAAGTAGAACACTTTTTCAAGTTCAATTGATTTGCAGGGAAGAGACTTGAGGTCATGATAAACTTTCTCATTAAAATCAATTGTATTCAAAAGTGTTTAACTTGGCTGGATCATAACTTGGCCCAACTGTTAGCTAGATATATGAACATCAACATCAATTTGTGAAGTATTCTGGAAGACTTAATGTTGGTAAAGGAATGAATGAATTACAGTCAGTCGTGCAAAATTCTACCTATGCAGCAAAGCAATTCCAGCTCCTTTATGACAGGCAAATAAGACATTCAGTTACACCACCTCCATCAAGACCACAAGGGAAACAAGTCATTTAACTGAATGGGTAGATATAATTCTGAAAGGCTGGATAGCATTCATATGACATTTTATCCTCTCTGACATGTATCTGGATAATCTCCTTCATACAACAAGTCCACCTAGTATGACTCAGAACAGAGCTACCAATTAAGATATACAGCAGGATCTTTAGTTATTAAGTTCTTCAAAATACAGTAGACAACATGGAAGAATGAACTGGTGGACATTTGGACATGGGTAAACCAAATGCTGGGAGTGTAGATAATTTTAGATTGTACTTTTTTATTGTAAAAATGAAAAACGGAAGCTACCTAGAAGGCTCTTTAATATATGATGTTGACCCATTGCTACTGTAATTTCTACTGAGAAAGGAAATGATCCTGATTGCAGTTGTTTACCTAAGGAAGCAGTCTGCCAAGAGATGGATCTGAACCAAATTATCAGTAGTAAAATTGTTCATCATTTAACTGGAATGGTGAAAAGGGAAGGAATATCTAATATGTGTGAGTCCTCCCACCCCACCTCACATCACCTGTAACCTATAGAAAGAATAGGCTGTAGCTTTAAAACCAGTATGATAAACACCAGCACAGACCTTACAAGGAATTACAGTCCCTCAGGAATCTTCACATAGTGGGTTTTTCATATATTTCTAGCATTTGCTGAGCAACGGCCTCTGTCCTTAGGATAGCTTTCTACTGATACTCCAACATGCCAGAAAGCAAAGGTAAGTGCCTTGATTTTGCTTGTATCTTGATAATCAGAATAAGAATAGTACTAACAGACCCTCTTGCTAATATCATTCCCAACCATCAGCAGACTCACAAGCCATCTGGATCCCTCCCCCTTTGGCTCTGAGCTGCACCAAGATTTATATTTCAAAGGGAACTTGAGCATGGATAGCTATCTTTAACCAAGGCTGTTAGTCCATATAATTTAGTATTGTCTACACTGACTAGCAATGAGCATATCCCTACATGGAAATACCAGGGATCTAATCAAGGAACTTTTCCATGCAAAGCATCTGTTGAACTTATAGCCATTCCCTTACACATACTTCATACAGTTGTGTTGATGGACAAAATCTCCACCCCCAAAGGGGGGGGGGACTGTAGTACATAATAGCACAATAAATAAGGCCAGTGCCCCCCCTTGCCACTGAAGGAACCGGGGTACAAGCAAATTGCCCACAATAGTTTATTTCTGCACTGGACTGCTCCCAGAGTAGCAGCAAATCCATCATGTCTTCATCACATTCCACACTTAAAGTTTTGGAGTTCCTGGGCAGGGGGAAACAAACCAGAGCATTAATACAACGTGAAATAAAAGGTGACTCAAACCTGTAAGGAAGAAAAGTAGCAAATAATTTAGGAGCTTATGCACTTGTGATTAAAAAAACTCTAGGCAAAAAATGTTTATACCTATTTTGATCCCTTAGCTAATGCTAAGAAGTGCATTCTTTCCATCAAATACTGGTGGCAGGGACTGAATGTGAGACCCTGGAATACCATTGAGCTTTATTTCCTAATCCTACAATAACACCACATATTGGCCTTGAAAAGTTACATCACACTTTTTGCACTTTAGCAGGGCTGGGGAATCTATGGCCAACTCAAAGCTGCTGGATTCTAAATCCCATCAGCCCCAGCCAGCATTGGTCAGTGGTCAGGGGTGATGGGAACTCCAGTCAAGCAAAACATATGGAGGGTCACAGGTCCCCCAATTTAGATAATTCACAACTCAATACTATAGAGATGATCTTATTTGAATTATAGAGCTTAGAAATATGTCTACTCAAACTGGAATGAGTTTGCATGTTTTCATGTTTATTGTGCACAGATATGGTGAAAGACATTATAAATTGCTGATTGCCATCTTTAGCACAGAGAAAAATAACACCTCCCAAGAACATGGTCTCTCTGGTGGAAGAAAACTGATTTTCTGCAACAGCTTGATCCTATGTGTGATTACTTAGAATAAGTACCACTTTGAAAGAAAGAAAGAAAGAAAGAAAAGAAAGAAAGAAACTGACTTAAGTAAACATTTGTAGGATGACAGTCTACACTGAACCAAGGGGGTTTAAAGATCGTATAGAAGAATATGCATTGTAGCAGAGAAAGCAATCTGATTCAACATGTGTTCACTCTCAAGAAAGCCCCACTGAATTCCATTTGACTTTCTCCCCAGTTAATGTGCACAATATTGCAGTCTTACAGCCTAATGCAATGCATGTCTATTTGGGATTGTCCTATTCTGCTCAGTGGGGTTTACTTGCAGGTGGGAGTTCACAGGGATGCAGCCAAAGAGCCCAAAGGGTAAATGAAATCAGTGGAAATGCTAAGTGCATGCCTAAGTACACCCCACTGAGACCAACGGGGGCTTAACTTTGGGCTGGGTAACACCCTCAGAGTGTGAAAATACTAATATTTGTGAACAGGAACCCTGCTGTGTTGGCATGACGCCACTGTGCAGATGGGGAGTTCTGCAATAAGACAGACTAAATCCCCAATGCCAGTGTTTCTTGTGAAAGTGGACTTTGGCAAAGCAAAAGGCGAAGGAAGCAAGCACAGCAGGAGCAGCTTCTCCACAGGGCAGGCAGAATGACAAGAGCATGAAGTCAGAGCAGCACAGATAATGATGATAATGATGATGATAATAATAATAATAATAATAATAATAATAATAATAATAATAAATTATTATTATTATTATTATTATTATTATTTATACCCCGCCCATCTGGCTGGGTTTTCCCACCCACTCTTGGTGGATTCCAACAAAATATTAAAATACAATAGTCCGTCAAACATTAACAGCTTCCCTAAACAGGGCTGCCTTCAGATGTCTTCCAAAAGTCTGGTAGTTGTTTTTTTCTTTGACATCTGGTGGGATGGTGTTCCACAGGGTGGGTGCCACTACTGAAAAGGCCCTCTGCCTGGTTCCCTGTAACTTGGTTTCTCGCAGCGAGGCAATTGCCAGAAGGCGCTCGGCACTGGACCTCAGTGTCCGGGCTGAACGATGGGGGTGGAGACGCTCCTTCTGGACCGAGGCTGTTTAGGGCTTTAAAGGTCAGCACCAACACTTTGAATTGTGCTTGGTAACGTACTGGGAGCCAATGTAGGTCTTTCAAGACCAGTGTTATGTGGTCTCGACAGCCGTTCCCAGTCACCAGTCTAGCTGTCACATTCTGGATTAGTTGTAGATTCTGGGTCACCTTCAAAAGAAGCCCCACATAGAGCGCATTGCAGTAGTCCAAGCGAGAGATAACTAGAACGTGCACCACTCTGGCGAGACAGATGGAGGCACAGAAAGTGTTGGTGGACAGGCTGCAGCCGTACCTGGGCTTCCATTGCCAGTCTGCAAATACAACTTAAGGCTGCATCAGGCTATTGCTCCATCAAGCTCAGCGCTGTGTAGCAGCTCTCCATGGTTTTGAACAGAGGGTCTCTCACAGCCCCAGTGAGATGTCAGAGATTGAACCTGGGATGTTCTGCATGCAAACCAGCTGCTCTACCACTAAACTATGGCCCTTCCCATAACTTGGGCAAGTCACGTATGCAACAAGACAAAGGTAACTTAATGAAACACCAAGGCAATTAGCAAGGTATTGGTCCATGAAGCATGCAGAACAGCTACAACATTTGAGATATATATTTACTTCCTACAACAGCCTTCCCTAGTCTGAGGCCCTCCAGATGACACCTCTGGCTTGAGTATCACCTAAGAGCATCAACAGTTTTTCAGTTTGTTTAAAGTAGCATTAGCAAAACACAGTTTACTGAGCATCTGATGATATCACACAGTTCAAACAGGAGAATTACGACCCCACCCCCCTTGAAACCTACTTTCACTGTCTTTGGGATTTAATGGACGTTGTTTCACAAAAGCAGAGCTGTAAGTTGTTGTGATCATGGGTTTTTCTGA